AGCCAGCATCAAAGCAGCATGGCAAGACTGAATGTTGACCACCTCGAGCCCTGTCTTTAAGTAGCATTTGACGAGGCTCTCTGGCCTCGGGTCTCCTCACCTCAGTCGTTCAGATTGATTCACAGTCGAAGGCCTGGATTGTACAGTTGCAGACTTTCCCCTTGGACCTGATGCTGTCTGGGTACCTGCATACAAACAAATGTGTGTGTCCGACCGGCGGCCTGGGCTGGGTACCCTTTGACTTTGACTGTTGGGGTTTCCGACAGTTGGCTTTTGTCAACTGTACCTCGTCCAGGCCCTGAATCTTTTGCTGGGGTCTTTTCCCCCGTTTTGGCCTGGGCCTGGGTGTGGCCTGGCGAGGCCCTCAGTTTCCACGAGGCTTACTACATGGGTTATTGCACTAGAACACATCCAGGCATACCACGGATCACCCCGAGACCATCATAAAAGCAAGCATGCATATTATATATATCAGCAGCGAGGGTTTACCCGTCGGCATAAGGCCCTGCAGCAGGCCCGTGCCTGCCCTAAGTGAAGGCGCCCCCCCTGAATCTCAATGTGCCCTCAATTCGTCAGTTTTTGCAAACCTTGGTGGGCGCCAGACAGTTGCCACGTGCCAGTTGGTTACATCTTTGCTCGTGACAATTGGAAATATGCGTGAGCCTTCCAGGCTCTTCCAGCAACGTGGTCGAAGCAGGGAACACCGCACGTTTGTGCCTGGGTGGTTGGGCATACCTAACCAATTTGGTCCCAGGCCGCTGTCTGAACGGGTCTGAGCGCAGACACTTTGGCCCAACCTGCAGCTACGAGGCACACGCGAGGAAGGCCAGGCAGCGAACCAGCCAGGCAGCTTTGCATATAGCAAAGTGCCTGGCTGAGGTGAAGGGGTCAGGCACTTGCGTGCAGATGCGGCAGCGCTGCTAGAGCTAGCACTCGGGGGCTGCTGCGTTAAAGCTAGGGGCAAGTGTGCGCGCGTGTGTGGTCGTGCGAGAGGAAGGGCGCTGCTGAGGGCAGCGCCATAGCCAGCCCTTGTAGCCCGGCTCGGCTTGAACATAGCCAGTGGAGGTGGTGGTGGTCTTCCTGTATGAGGCAGAAGATGTGGGTGATGAAGTCGAGGGTGTGAGAAAGAGGGATGAGGCTGATGATGTGAGGGCACACACCTGGTTTTGGCGATGGTCTACAAGGTCGACATCTTCATGTACTTCGGTTGTTGCTGATGATGTCAACAGGATGCGTCGTCAATTCGTAGGCTGCTAGTAGCTGTGTGATAGTAGTCTGGGCCCTGAGTGCCAAGTAGGAGGAAGGACTCTGGATACATATGTTGGTGGTGGTGAGAGTATGCTCTCATTGACATTCAGATTCAGTGCTTTGGTTGAAACGGTTTTCACCTTTGCAGTAGAGATGCAGATTCCAGGGCTCGATCCCTAGACCTTACCTTACCCGTGTACAGTATTGAGTTGACCCCTGAGTGTTTGAACCCGCGATCTGTGTTTTGGTATTTGGCTGTTGCCTGTCGTAGGTCTGTGTAGTTGCAGGGGTTCGATCTGTAGGTCTGTCGAGTAGGGGTCATAGCTGTGTAGAGGCAGTAGCTGTAGCGTTTCTGAAAGGTCAAGGTCGTAGCTGCTACAGTCCCGAAAGGCCAAGTCCACAGACTTCCGGAAGGTCCGGAAGTGGCTTTTCGAGAGTTTCTCACGTTTAGTCAGAGGCAAGTGGGCAAGTGGTGAGTTCAACTTCGCTTAGTCAGCGGTACCCAGTCCCCGTCTTACGTCGTACAGTCAGCAAGTACCATGAGGGACTGTGTACACCATGGGCCCGGTGGAAAGAGGCAGACCAGCGACTTACAGAAGTATAAATCAAGAGGCAGTGTCCAACCATTCATTCATTCGCTGCGTGAGCCATGCGGAAGTGCTGCCCCAGCGTCTTGTGCGAGGTGGTCTGCAGGTTGCCCGAAGTCGAAGTAGGCTGAGGGAAGATAGAATGTCCATAGTCAGTAGTAGTTGAGCGGCCATAGCCGCCGTAGGTTAGATATAGGCTTCAGTGTGTGTGTGTGTAGTACAGGGAAGCGTGTGGGATATCCAGGGTGATCCAGAGTTGAGTGTAGGCGAATGATGGTTATGGACACAGTGTCGGTGAAGAGAGTTGTTGGGCGCTCCGTCGCCATAGCCTGTTGAAACGAGTTTGCATCTGAGCTGTGTTCTCGGTCTCTGCCTGGCGCCAGTTTGGTTTGCCATCTGTTTGTATGCATGCGAAGTGAGAAATAAATTGAGTCTGATTGCATGGTTCTCCGTTGGTGGAATATCAGTGCATTTCTGCTTTCTGGACAGCGTTGGACTTGCTGGCTTTCAAATTTCAATGTGATTTTTCACTCTGGATTTCTGTTATTTCGCTATCGCTCACTTCCCTTGCACTAGCATACATGCAAATCCACCAAAGAATAGCAAATCAAGCAAAGAAAAGGTAACGAATCAAGCAGCGGCAACAAAATGAAGTGAAGCACAGGTCACAAATCAAGCTTCAACAGCAGATCAATCGAGCAAAAAGTAGAGAGTGCACATCAACTACAATGCAACAGCAAATGAACTGAGGCACAACCCACAGACTAACCCATCCTAGCCAGAAAATGAGGAGAAGCACATACCACTGATCAAACACTTTCTTGAGATCTGTCAAACTAGATCAACCACAGAGCATAAATCAACAGCAAAGTGGACTGAAAGCCATTATGAATTCTTTGGCTATGGTATGTGGTGCCAAATTCAGTGTATGTTAATTACGCCCCCCCCCCCTATAAATAGATACAAGAAACTTGAAGAAACTTGAAGAAACTTGAAGAAAGTTGAACTTTTTTTTTTTTTTTTTTTTTTTCCACATACAAACACAACATATACCAATGATGCCAGTGGTGAACCAAAAAATGACCGGAATTTCATCTACAGATCGGTCAAAAGAGTCCTTCTGTCAGTGCTGTGAGCATTTCCGCAGTATCGGATGTCACAAAGAACGTTTTTTTTTCTTCCTTTTTCTGTGGAGTTATCGATAGTGAACATGACAACACACAGCACAGATTGAACATGGGCAGCAAAACTAACCTCGCGAGTCAAAACTTAAAACCGATGAAACAGTCTGGCACAGTCATGCTTTTTTTTTTGTGTGTGGAGTTGTGTATAGTGAACGCGACAGCACACACATCACAGATTGAACATGGGAAGCAAAACTAGCCTCAAATGAAAGAAAAAAACAATCATTTTCCGACACTGCTGGTATGACAAGAAAGTTGGCAAAACACACTCTCCACGTATAAACACAACATCTACCAATGATGCAAGTGATGGACCAAAAATTTGACGGGAATTTCATCAACACATAGGTCAAGAAAGTCCTGCTGTGAGCATCTCCTCAGCATCGGATGTCAGAGAGAACAGTTTTTTTTTTCCCTTCTTTTTTTTTTTTTTCAGTTTGGATAACTTTGGACCATTTGTTCGTTTTCGGCATATTCACTTGATGACTTTCAGGACTTGTACAAGACTAACTAAGTCAATCGGACATGATCAAGTTGCTGCGATTGTTAGCGGTTGCAGCCCCCTGCCCCCCCCTCCTTCTCCCAGGCTACATGTTCCGACAACATCACATCACCCGCTACACTGGGTCCAACATCACTCTTCTTTGAAGTGCCTGTTACGTCAATTGCCAGGTCCCCTCCTTCACAATCTCTCTCATTAGACACAGCCTTCTAACTTCTCCTTGGTCCAGCATAGAAAGGTGTCATCTTCTGTTTGAGGAGGCCTGCAGAAGCCCTGTGGTTGCACATTCACATTTGTGGCCAGGTACGAATGATAGACGGACAGCCAGCGGCAAAAGCACCGCCTTCCCCGTCCAACAAGGGCAAGCCGAGCCCTACCGTCTTCACCCGAGTACGCCCGGTCATTATCCCTCTATCTAGACTGAAAGTTGCACCGAATACAGCTTTGATGACTGGGCGTTCTATTCGGGGGAAGACGGTAGTGCAATTCGAGACCAGCAGTAGCTTAGTTCCATGGCCAGTGGCACTGTAGAGGATGTCACTGGGGGGGGGTGCCGGATTTCATTTGCGCAAGACTACCTTCTGCATCCTTTGCACCCTTCGTACATCACAGCATTGGCTCAACTGTGTGTGGGTGACCTTTCTTCTCCAACATTGAGGAGGATGGCTGCCCGCTTGCTGCCTTAACAACTTCGTCTGACCACTGACGCATGCAGATCAATTACAGCGAAGGTTCTATGACAGAGGAGTGGGGAATGCGTGTAAAATGGAGATGGCTGCTAGATTCCAGCGAAAAGACTGCTATTTACAACCCTGAGACTGAGGTTGCGATCATGTTGAACAGAGCGAGCGGTTTGCGAACGGGTTTCTTTCTTGCCTGCCTGCTGAAGGCAGCATCTGTGCTTCCTGTACATGTTGATTGCCTTTTGTTACTCTGGTTGGAAGAGCCAGGCTCAGAAGTTTGTTCATCTGGCACTCCTATGTAGACTGTTATGTGTTCTTCCGCCGCTTCTGAGAGTTTAGGCCTCGCTCCACTAAACAGCACTCTTATGTGCATTTGGACTCTTTCTGGACCTGGTGCATTGGGACGACTTGAACATTTTGAGTGTATTAGGGTCCTGAAAGGATCCAATTACATGTAGAGTTTTGTGTAGTGGAGCGAGGCCCTTTATCTTCACCCGCGTAGGGTTTAGCATTCACTTATGATGATTGATGATTGATTGGATTGCATTGATATTTCTGTTTGCGAGTTTTGATCATCGGAGTTTTGGCTGAGTTGGCGGCCTTGTGTGTCAGACTCTATGCATCTTGTTACCGCGTGGCAGAGTCCTGTGTTTTAACTTTTTATTACTTTTCAATGAACCGTCGCCACCCCCTGTTATTACTTGCCACTTTTTGCCTGTTTTTCCAAAGAAAAGTACTCCTCCTCCCGAAGTTACCGAGTCATTTTGCCGAGTTCCTTCAACATGGTTTATTGCCGGCAAGTTCACAAGAATCACAACTCAGCAGACCCCCTTTCTCCGTACCCATCTTTCTGTGGTTTCTCTGCTTTCTGTGTTCTTTGTTTGACCTTTTTTCTCCTTGTTCTACAAGATTTTGAAAGAGAAGACTTCAGGCTCGACCTCTGAACTGCAACGATGGCAGGGCTGAGGCCTCCGCGTAGTGAGCGCACATTGGTTTGTGTAATTCAGTCTCTTGTTGGTATGGAGGTTGTCGTGGAGCTTCGCAATGACTTAACCATTCGTGGGAACCTTGACGAATGTGACGATTACATGAAGTAAGTAAAGCCTTTCTGTGTTTTTCCTTTTGGTTGTTTTTGTTGTTTGTTTTTGTTTATTTGCTTGTTTGTTTGTTTGTTTGTTTGTTTGTTTGTTTGTTTGTTTGTTTGTTTGTTTGTTTGTTTGGCAGCATTTGCAAAGAAGGCCATCTCTGAAAACTGCCCTTTCGCTAGGCCGTTTTTCGGGGCGCCCAGGCACCCAAGTTGTGCCTGGAAACACACCTGGGCAGGGTCCCGGGCTGCCCCAGCTCCAAAAAAGGAAAGGGGGGGGGGGAATCCAAAAAAATCTGGGAAAAAAATATGTTTAGAATTGCAATACAAACAACTTTTGGCTGAGGGTCACATCAGAACTCCTCACGGAACTGAAGATAAAAATGAAAATAACCGAATGACACCAAGGCCAAGGCACCTCCCTTTAAACCCCTTTAGCCCCTTTAAAAATAATTTATACCCCCCTTGTCCCCCCTTTAATGCCAACACTCAAAAAAAGAAAAGAGCCGGGATTTGGGCTCCTCTCTGAGAACGCGGAAACCCCCCACTGCCAAATTTTGTTTTTCCTATTTTTTCTCCCCATGCCTGGGTATCCCGGGCATCAGACCCCCCCCGGCATCATGCCCGGGTGACCGGCCGGTCATGAAAATCTTCCTAGCCCTTTTGCAATGGAGTGGAGCTTATTAATTAAGGAAGGCTTAGGATAAGAACTCGTGCTGACAGGAGCATAGCAAGTATCTGCTTTTTCTGAGTGTTTGCATTAAATTGCGATGGGTGAGAGAGACCCAAATGCCACCGCACAAATCTGCTTCTATGATGGAAGTGCTTTCCTCATAAGGAAAGCAGAACTTCCCACTACCCAAAAGGGGATCTGACGAGAGATGCAAGTGTAGTTTTGTTTAGGTTCAAGTGTTACTGTACTGTTTCCAACGGAGGAGGTGCCGTCCCCCCCACCCCGTTGTCCTGGATACCAGAAAATGACGCCATTTCACGGTGTCCGATACCTGGTGCTCACCTCAAAGTCAAAACACATGCAGTGTGCATTTCCAGCCGAGCAGTGCGCTGGTGGCGGTGTCTCTTGACACTTTCTGCCTGGCAAAGGAACAGTTTCTGCCAGCATGTGGGGTCAAATAGAAATAACCAAACCGCATCAACAAAATGCCAATACCAAGTGGCAGTTCCAACCCCAAATGTCGTCTTCAAGTAAAATGACCCGTGCACTGACGAACACAATCCTCAGTCCTAAAATAACAAAGAAGTACAGACCCTGATGGTCCTGTACCTTCTGTGAGGAAGAAGGGCATACACATCAGAAGTGTGGTCAAATCGTCATGAGCTAGGCACATTTAGAAGAATGCTTTCAGATGCACGCACTGTGTTAGTACTATGTCACACTTGTCTGAACGAGTTATTGAGTTACTTTTTCCTCTCAGTATGTCGTCAATTCTCTGTTTGAACTGAAGAACATATAAATAGGTTATGATGCTCGTGAAGACTTGAAGTCAGTGTGACTGTCCACTGCTCCGGTGCCGTATTCGTCCTCACGGTTGCTGATGTTGTCTCCACTCTTTCTGAGCCTGCAGGCAGATGGCCAGTCAATGAATGTCTGAGAACTCCTACTGTGTTCACCCGAATACAACGCACGGTCATTATTGCTGCATGTAGACTCAGAGTTGTCCCAAATTATGCGCCAACGACCGTACATTGTGTTCTTAGGAAAACAGTAGGCGCAGTTGTCTGGTTATCTGTATGAGAGGCTGAGGTTGTAAGGGTTGGTTCTACAGTTCTACCGCTCACAAAACAGTGTCGTCTTTGAGAGCACTGAGGGAGAGCAGCATGCGGCTGAAGGTTCCCCTTTGAGAACACGGAGGGAGTTTTGACTTTTTGCCATCCATCCCCTGTATCCAATTCAGGGGTGTGGCTCTAGTCTACCGTCCTCACCCGAATAGAACGCCCTGCAATAACTCAGCTCCAATATGCATCAGTCGTGGGATGTGGGTCGTCACTTCTGGTCGAAGGCCCGAAACGTGGGTCGAAAGTCACGCCCAAGTCGTGAGAATGCTTGAACAAAGGCCTATCGCTGGGGGGTACCCAAGGCCAGGCCAAAACAGGCCTTCAGAGGCTCAACGCGAGGCAGTTGACCTTGGGAAAGTCGACGGTCAACCTCAGCTTGGGATACAGGCCCACGAGTCAAAGTCAACCCGATCCCTGCCTCAGCCACAGATCAGGTACACACCTCTGGTTGTTTGCAGGTATCCAGACGAGATCAAGCCCAAGTGGGGTATATCGGTTTCTGCAACTGTACGGGATCCAGGCCATTGGCTGACGGACGATCCGGGCCATCGTATGCAAGAGACCAGAGGCTGGTCAACGCATGTCAACACTATAAGTCGACCCAGCCCCTGATGGACGACATTCAATCTTGTACATGCTGTTTGACGCTGGTGCGACGACACAAGACTGCCAGAGTTTTATGCTGGTGCCATTCTCTGTCACCTCTGACAATGGAATGTGGATAAGGTTATCATAGCTGCCAACTCGGTCGCTGATCCGGTGATGAACTCTGCCAGACCAAGGCATGCAGACGCTGACTCGATGGCACTTATTAACGGAATGACAGGGCTAGGTTGCACCGACTCATATCGGACCTTATACCCGCAAGGCAGGGCCTTCACATCCTGCGGAACCCGATGACCAGGAGAAGCAGAATAGATACGATATGGGCATCGATGGATCTTAACAAAGTGTTCGAGCAGGCCATATAAGCCCGATGGCTACATTGGATCATTTGGCGGTGAGAGCAAGCTACCCGGTGGGGCGGCTGGAGATGGGCCACGCCCCGAAGGCAATTCTGGCATGGGTCTTTAAAAGTACAGAGTATCAGCCTGTGGTGGCCCGATTTTGGGAAGAATAGGTGAAAGACTGCCCGTAGGATAGCCTGCTGGCCCACATTGCGTTGGCAATCCAGGACTTGCGAGGGGCACTGGCGAAGCAGCTGCACGAGAACTACTTGGCGCACCAACGAACAGGGGAGGAGTTCTCCCACAGGCTGGAAGAACTGAACGGGGATCCGGCAGGAGAGCAAACAGAGGACGAATGGTGGGTTGAGCGGGTGGAGGCGGCTCGAGGCTGGAGGAATGGCAGCAGGAGGAGGCTATCAAATGGGGAAGGAAAACCAAGGAGTTGTGGATTGTGGTAGGGGAACGCATGTCAAGGATTTTTTTTGCCATGGCTGGTGCATGAAAGGCTGCGTCGTTGATTACAGCCATGGACCACCCCTTCGATGAGAATCAGCCAAGGCAACGCACTACGAGGGGGATTTTGAAGTGTGTCACCGATTTTTATTGCGGCCTGTTAACGGAAGAGGAACCATGGGTGCCAGAGGACATGGCAAACCATCCAGGAGAGACAGTGTGGAGCCATGTCCAAAGCCGATTGGACCTGGAAAGTACTTGCAGGCTTGAAGAGGATATTAAGGAGGATGAAGTGGAGGCAGCGATTGCAGATCTGCCTAGGCTTAAGGCGCCGGGGTTGGACGACATGTCGATGGAGCTATACCTGTCTCTTATACACATCTAGATGTGTATAAGAGACAGGCCATGTCCAAAGCCGATTGGACCTGGAAAGTACTTGCAGGCTTGAAGAGGATATTAAGGAGGATGAAGTGGAGGCAGCGATTGCAGATCTGCCTAGGCTTAAGGCGCCGGGGTTGGACRACATGTCGATGGAGCTATACAAGGACTTTCGCAAGTTCTTTGTGGTTTTGCTGACGGCGGCTTATAATGAAGCACTTAAATGCGGATCCTTTCTGCTAGGCTTCGCAGATGCGTATGTAGTGTTGCTCTATAAAAAAAGGGCGAAGGAAGACGTGCGAAACTGGCGGCCGATATCCAATTTTAATGCGCTATACAAAATCATGGCTAAGCTAATGGCAACCCGCTTGAAGTGCCGTCAGATCCTGACTAATGTGCTTCTGGTGCAGCAGATTCTGGGGCAGGAGCAGTGTACCGGGAGTGCTGTTGAGTTTATTTCTATGCTTGGAGAAAGCATATGACTGGGTCCGTTGGGAGTTCCTCCTGCAGGGGATGGCGCGTAGGGGGAATAGGAGGTATCTTCTGTGGATGGGTGAGAAGTATGCTAAAAAGGGCAACAACGGTGATGCAAGTTAACGGGGTAAGGTCAGACAAATTGAAGATTACTAGGTCAGTTAGACAAGGATGTCCGCTTTCCCCGGTCCTCTATGTCATCTATATTGAGCTCATGCACAATATATTAAGGGCAGACGACCGACTGATCGCCTTGAAGGCAGGACCTGTAAAGGAGATCAAATCTACGGCTTTCGCAGATGACTCAGGTGCAGGGATCCTCCCGACAGCCCGGCAGCTGGCTATCCTCAAGGAAGATTTGCAGACCTTCTGCGCATACTTGGGGGCACGGGTGAATTGGCACAAATCGAAGGCCATCCTCCCTCGGGAGGTCGACCCGCCAGAAGAATGGGATATTCCCACAGTGGCAGAAGGGGAACGAATGTCATTCCTGGGAGCAAACCTCACGCCAAGTTTTGGAGGGGTAGAGCAGATGGCGATCAGGGCAACGGCAGCGGCAGCCCGACTTAAGGCATGGAGCGCAAGAGGAAGTATGGGACCCTTAGGCAAGGCCCTGATTATTAAGAACTCTGTGCTGTCTACTTTATGGTATGCCGGTGCCATCCACATGCCGGGCAAACACACTTTCAGATACATCAGGAAGGCGGTGCAGGCGCACTTATGGTCAAACAATGTGTATGTGGAGAACTCTATACGTAGGGTGGCCTGGAATAAGCTTATTCAGCCAAGGCGGTTTGGGGACTGGGCCTTCTGGACCCGCGGAAGCAAATGATTGCACTGCAGATGCGCCAGCTGATCTGGCACCTGCTGGCCATGGTGGGGGGGCCCTGGCAAGAAGTTACCAGGACCCACCTGGTGTATGCACTTCAGGTGCCCAGAGAACTGGTGGACCTGTGCTTGATTAGTAGTACGACAATGGGTCATATCCGCAGGGACGCGGTTTGGTCCACCAAGCTGGCGCTGTGGAAAGAAGCACGGCTGAGATGTCGAATGCCGGAAACTGCAGACGCTGTCTTCAACCAGTTACTGTTCGACAACCGGTTTATAACTTTATATGTGATGCAATTGGAGACCCCTTTCCGTGGCATGGCCCGCGAGGTGCATATGGGTGGAAGTGGGCGGAGCAATGAATTTATAAGGTGGGAATCATTGGGACGAAGATCGGAAGGATTGACGCCAGGATGAGGAGATGGTGGAACTGCTGCACGGACGGATGAGAAGGAGGCTAAGGGTTCGAGAATTGCAGGAGGATATCCCCCCCCAGTGGGCTGTGATATTAAGGAAAGATTCCGAAAGACGAATTCACCACTGGGGAATGGGTGAAGTTGAGGGGAGTCCCGAGACCAGACAGAGTTTACAGGGTGGAACATTGCCGGGTGATCTCCTAGCAAAGACACTGGTTTTTCTTAAGAAAAAAACAAAAACAAAAAAACTGGAAGTAACGGGATGGCTAGTGAATTCGGGCTATGAGGGGTTAGGGGAGCCCCTGCAGGAATGCAGTGCGCAGTTGGAAAGGCCCTCAGAAAACAGTGAGCAGAACCATGATGGAAACAGTGGCGGTGTGTGAAGGCACTGAAGGGGACTGGAAGGAGAAGGGCCAATATCCACCATTTCGGATAGCTGACCGGCGAAGGGATTTGATATGGGACCCGAGGGAGTGGGAATGGCCAGGCCAGAGAATGCAGAAGAAAGCAGTTCCAATCCAGAGCCTCACCACGAAAAACATTTATAACTCTCTTCTGGAGGCGGTAGATATATGTGCAGACCTGAAGAATCGGTGGGCGAAGAGGGACTGGATTCCGGACGTGCTTTTCGACAGATGGACGCATCGTAGATGGAATGAGCAAAATGTAATCCTGGCCGCTCTACCGGACCAGAAACAGGCCGGCTTGCTATGGAAGCTCAATCATTTGGCAATCCCCACGGCACAATAGGAGCCGGCATAAGGATCAGACATGTGCAGCGGGATGTGGGCAGGTGGAGACTGTTCCACATCTCTTTGTGCGATGCCCGGCTGTTCAAGCATTCTGGGAATGGTGGGCGCGGGAACTGGCAGAGCATTTCCCACTGAATGTCATGGAAGAGGACGATGCAGCCATAATCCTCGCAGCCTTGATGAAAGTGGATAGATAGAGACTGGAAGATGTGGTGGCAGCGGAGACCATACGTGCAGCGGTATTGTGGACCCTGTGGACCCTGAGGAATGAGAGGTGTCGACAGGGAACATTTCCACCGCTGCAGGCTTACCAAGAAAGAGCGTTGGAAAATATTAGAACTGCTATACTGGCTGACCTGCACAGAAGCAGGCGGGCAGGGGAACAGAAGGAGAAAGGTTTTTGGGCCAGATGGGAACCATACTCGCAGCTGCTCACCCAGGATCTTCCGACTGGTTGCATGCTGTTTGGCCCACTGCTGACGCGCCATGCGCCGGTAATCGACGCAGAGGAGGAATCAGATTAGGAAGATCGAACCTCATGAAAGCAGCCGATTTGTATCATATTTAGACTAAGGTGGAAAAGCTAGGAGAACTACGATACAATTAGAATAGAATAGATGTATTATAATAGTTTAGACCTGTATAAGGTAATGGTCATGAAAAGATGGGGAACTTCAGATTAAAAAAGAAAAAATATAGGTAAGATATACAAGAATGAAAGGAAACTTCAGGAGGAGATATGACTTAGGATAAAGATTGATGGATGGGATTGCAATCAGCCTTGCCTTTCTCGGCACTCAGCATGCGTACAAACAGATGACGACCAAGCTGGCGACTGGCACCCACACAAAGCTCAGAGATAATGATGCCAAAGACACAGTTCAGATTCAAACTTGTCTTGATCGGCTATGGACAATCATTGTACTCTCAGCAACTTGTTTGCACACACACCCTGGATCTCCGTGGATGTCCCGCACACATATACACAACACACTCTTACACACACACACACACACACACACACACACACACACACACACACACACACACTACTAAGCTAACTGGCAGCTATGGCTGCCGTCTACTTACTAACTCTAACACAAGCGGCTATGGCAGCGTCTTCCTCCTCTTAGCCCTCTTCTCCTACGGGCACCTGCAGACCTTCGTACACAAGACACTCCGACAGCGCTTCCACACGGCTCACAGGCAGAATGCATGAATGACTTGACGCTGCCTCTTTATTTATACTTCCAATCGTCAAAGGTCTGCCTTTGGCCCTGGGCCCGGGGTGCACACAGTCCCACATGGTACTTGCTGACTGGACAAGGTGCGACCTGGGACTGGGTACCGCTGACTAGCCTAGGTTAGACTGCCCACTTGCCCACTTGCCTACGGACTGCCTCCTAGGACTTACGAAGGGGTAGAGTAGACTCATCTAGAAGGTCCTAGTCTAGCCTACGTGACCTTTCGGTACTGTAGCAGGTACGACCTGGGTGACCTCTCGGTACTGTAGCAGCTACGACCAATACTAATGCTACGATTCCTAAGACGCTGACCTACAGTTTGAGACCCGATGACCGACCTACCTACAACGGCTAAACATACGACTTTCAGAACGCAGGTCGTGGGTTCAAACACACACGGGCTCATGGGTACTGTACACGGGTGAAGGGAAGGACTAGGAATCAAGCCCTGGGTGCTGCATCTGCTACTGTAAAGGTGAAAACCGTTTCAGGATAGAGGATGATATAGGAAATGCTGTGGATAATACTGGATATACATTTAATAGATACATATAAGGAACGTCTAAAATTCTAAATGGTTCAGGCTTGGCTTAGGCGGGGTATGGGGGACTTTTGGTATATATGTACGTCATAGGGTGAGATCACTGAGATGGTATAGTAGGATGGATGGGGAGAATGGGAAAGGTACTTCAGAAATAGCAGACTATTGGAGTACCGTAAAGGTGAAAACCGTTTCAGGATAGAGGATGATATAGGAAATGCTGTGGATATACATTTAATAGATACGAATAAGGAACGTCTAAATGGTTCAGGCTTGGCTTAGGCGGGGTAGGGGGGACTTTTGGTATAAATGTACGTCATAGGGTGAGATCACTGAGATGGTATAGTAGGATGGATGGGGAGAATGGGAAAGGTACTTCAGAAATAGCAGACTATTGGAGTAGGAAAGGAAATGGATAGGGAGGTAGTTATGGGGTGGAGATGACTTAGGCATGGAAAGATACGATGAAAGATTGGCAGGCAGCCTGAAGGACTGTGCAGAACCCCYCCCCCCCCCCCCTTCTCCCGTTGCCAAACCCCTGGTGGCTGCTCTACTGCATGTCTGGGTGCTGCTAGTAAGCCTCCCAACCAGTAGACTAGCCCCCGAGGACGGATGAAGGTTGGGAGATGGGCGCTCTGTAGCAGGCCCCCCTTGTTTAGGCGTCTAGTGCCACAAGGGCTGGGCTGTTCCCCTCTTCTTATCTTCTAATCTCCCTCGTTGCTACATTTGTGTACAACATGCTTGCGGGTGATAAGCAACCGGGCATCCAACCGGACTGATGCCCCCCAGAATAGAAGGGGATTGTTTTAACAAAAAAAAAAAAAAAAAAAAAAAGACAATGGAATGCGAATGGCCCCACCCGTCTCTACCAATCATCACTACAATCCAGAAGACCCACGAAATTCTTGATTTATGCTTGTCATCATTGCACAGCGTCCATGCTATGTGTTCTGTGTATCGATCCAATTTTAACAGATGTCAGGAAGGACTAGCGAAACAGTTTCTAAGTTCTAATCGATCTGGAATTTTTGGTTTGTAAGTTTGTATTGACTAAATTTGGTTGTTTGACCCTTCCTTATGATGGTGTGGATGATCCAGTGTGGTGGTGAGCAATGCAACCACTGAGACTGTGGAGGTCTGTAGTTAACCCATTTCTCTCCCCATTCTCTAATGGATTGAAAAAGGCGTCAGCCGACCTTGTTTTTTCTTTTCCCACTTTTGAAAATGGGTTAGCTCCTACCATTGTTGTATTCACCTCATTCAGTCAGAAGACTCAGAACTCGAACTGATGATCTGCTTATTAACAGCTGCATGTGCGTTGTACCATTCAGCCACATGGGCTGGGTTTCAGGCAGCATGGTATCCGATCTCGTCGCTGTGAAGCACAAATCTCTCTCGCTCACAGTGCACGGCTTCCTGTTTTCTCTGCAAACAGTACTTACATAAATCTCACCTCTGTCATCTCTGTGGAATTTCTAAACCCCAGTGCTCAGTCTAAACCTTCAGCCAAGCCAGCTGTGCCTGAATCGTCTTTTTGTCAGTCTATGAACATTGCAGCATTTCGTCGGGTTGGAGAACCAAGGCTGGCTGAAGTTGATTGAACGACTCGACTTCTGCTGTGCTTATGAATTTGGTCTGTTAACCACCCAAATGATTTCATTGGTGGGGGGGAGGGGGAGGGTAGGTATCGACCCCTAAGTTTACTATTGGTCTTCCTCCACTTTCTGGTTTTCAGGTTGTGCAGAGCTTCTTGCAGTCAGATTAAAAAAACCGATGAACTTTCTGTCAGCTGGCACACTTTCAGGTGCAGCCTCCTGTTCTTATCTCAGCTTCAACTGCCACTATCGGAGGGCAACCCGCCGGGTTACAAGGAGGCGCCTGCTTTTTAACCACTGGCCGTTCTCTTCTTGCCACTCGCCGGTTGGATTAAAAATCCGATTGAAAAGCTCTTTTCTCAGTTTTCTGCCGACTGTGGGTGCAAGGCCTAGTTTTCAAGACGGGTCAACGAAAAATGAGCGTGGTCGGTTGAGCCACCAGATCCCAAAGAGAGCTCTTTCCATGAATCCTTTGGAAGTTTGCTGTGGGGGAACTACCTTCTTCCCCCGAATACAACGTACGGTCATTATAGCTGTATTTAGACTGAGAGATGGCCCAAATGCAGCTTTAATAACCGTACGGCGTACGTTGTATTCGGGGGAAGAAGGTAGTGGCTCTGTGCTGAGGTAACAGATTGTAGGCTTAGTCCATAGAGGAAAATGTTCGGAGAAGCTGCAAAAATGCCAATAATATAAAATAAATAATGCCTGCTGGTGTGTCGATTCTTCTACTCCCTTGAAGTGTATGCTGTAGTACACAAATGAGAGCACATCAGATTTACAATGCAAATATTTCAAAGGGAGAAGGTCCACTCCTCTACCTGTTATGATGTTTCTGTCATAGTTATTCGCTGAACTGTTTTCAAAAACTAGTTTCTTCAACAAATTCTCTGTTTCTTTTTTTTTTCTTATTTTCTGTAGTGCGGAGCCTTTCATGAAGTTTCATCCGCTAATTACAAATTTCCAGACATCTCTCTCTCTCTCTCTCTCTCTCTCTCTCTCTCTCTCTCTCTCTCTCTCTCTCTCTCTCTCTCTCTCTCTCT